CTATCGCCCTGGTTCAAGCATTTCACTCGACCTCTGCCACCCCATCTGTGCTACTCGAGACGTTATTTCCCGCCCTTTGCGTCTGAGTGACTAATTCGAGGCTAAATTCTCTAAGTAAGTCTCATGCTCACGCTTTTGCTACATGTACCACGTCTCTGGTAAAACCTACTGTCAGCCAATTAGCTCCAGTTTCAGCCGTGTCTATCCTGTTTCTATTCCTAATATCAAGTCTATGACTCCACCTGCCTTAGTCTCTTGTGTGCAAACCCACACACATTGTGGTTCTACATTGAACCTAATTAAAGCAAGCAGTACCACAACATTTGTGGGCTGTTCATACAAGTGACTAGGGCAAGGGAAGTCATAGACTTGGTATTAGGAATAGAAACAGGATAGGCGCGGCGGGGAATGGAGCTAGTTGGCTGACAGTAGGTTTTACCATACACGTGGTACATGTAGCAAAGGCGTGACCATGAGACTTACTTAGAGGCTTTATCCTTGAATAAGTCACTCAAACACAGAGTGCAGCAATTAACGCCACCAGTAGCATAGATGGGGTGGCAGAAGTCGAGTGAAATGCTTAAACCAGGGCAATAGCAGACGGATTCTACGGGGCAACAGGGAGACTATGATAAGACCTATGGAAGGAGAACTGCGTAAAAATATGACGGACTCTGATCAACATTCCCAGTACAAGGGTGGAGGGGAGTGAGAACGCCAGCGTGTAGTGCGAAGGGTTGTCATGAAAGCCGCTCAAAAGGTCACACTACACTAGATTTAAATAAGCAAGGGAGGAAAAATAATATTGTTACAGTGAAGGTGTGATAAGAGGATATAGGAAATGTGAATAGCCCATGGCAGAAGGGGAGATAGCACAACTGTTTAGCGCACGTTTGGTCAAAGGATCGGCTTCTCTAGTCTCTTTGACAAGTTATTGTGTGATGCTAAGAATGGCGAGATTCACTGACGATGCCCACTATGATGCCGGCGAAACGTCTGGTAATGTACAATGTTCACGGTCCGACTTTGGAAATGATCATGCATACAATGGACTCTGGACTAGGTGCGTTCCTCTAAGTCTTCCTACCAACATGACTAAGTTGGGAAAACAAGGTCAAAAAACCTCTTTAAGTACTGAAAGTTGACTTTTCCCACTGAGAATGCTTCATGATCCCTTTAAGCTTCACTTTGCTTTGTCTCCCGAAAGGCCATATTAATCTAGAATAGACTGCATTCTGACCTCGCTTAGATTTTATCAAAATCTCCAGTGGAATTCGATACAGTTTCACCAGTACCGGGACAATGTTACCATTCTGCTTTACTACTCGGCAACGAGTGAAATTCATTCGCTTCGCAAGGCTTACTCATTTTATTATCGAAAAACGTAACTATCAGTCCTTATAGTCACCCTTAGCGACCTAAAGGTGACTAGTTCTTAGTTCAGAGAGGAAACAAATGACTTAACGAAGGATATTTTTACTAATATTAAGTTGAAAATTTCTATTACTATTGTTCCTTAGGTTTGGAATTTCTGATTTAAAGTAGATTTCATTTCATTCACAATCGAGGGCAGTACAGTCTACGACCTATTATCTTGCCATCTTAACAAAATTTGTTTTTCCCCCTAGTCATTCTGCCATTTCTGGGCTTTAGTCTCACCTTAGATGTTTATGTATTCATGCTAAATCTGTTTTAAATCCACTTTTAAATTGTGTAAATTATTTTTATTCTAATTATTGAAATACATTTTATTACATAAGATGATATATATTCCCTCGATGTGAACATATATCTTAAACATCGTGTGCAGATCAAAATAAATAGGATAAATTCGTTTTGTACATTACTTCATATTTTTGCAATACTATGCTTATGACAACAATCATTATTAATTTTGATAACTCAATAACTAATATCACGTGATGTTTTTCATGGTCATTTTAATTTATTCGCATGTTTTCTCATGTTTATGCATTCAGACTCCCAGCTTGCTATCTCGAGAGCCTCGACATCGTCGATCCTGACACCTCATCTTAATCATCATGCTCTCGGCCAATTTGTTGACCAATCCTCCTTATCCGCATCTTCCTCATCAAACTCAGACAGTCTCGTTACTTCTTCACCAACTTTAAGCTCAAATGCGGAACCTAACCCGGCTTTGGGGGATCCGGCCCAACAGTCAAGACAGCAGCAGTTATTGCTCAGCCGACCTAGCAATTCATTTGTACTTCTCCTTGCTCAACACCCTTTGACTACTAAAACACGATCGTCCCCTGTTTTTGGCCCGTTGGCCGCCGCCGGTGTTGTTAATGTGTCATCGAGGGAAGGTTCCCCAACAATAGTAAGCATAGTACTAATTTGGATCATTCAAGTCACCATTAAAACAATCAGTCATAGGTAGCTTATGGATTGTTCCATTAATAGAATATGTTTTAATGTAAGGATGAAGATCAAGCTGTTGTAGCCTCTATTTTGTTCGCAGTCTCCTTTAGATGTTTTCACAATTAGGACGTGTTGTCAGTGGGTCTTCGTTGGACGCATCTTGTCTGAACTCCTCCGCTATAGTAGTTATCATAATTCCTAGTGTTGACTCGTATAATTAGTACACTCCCAAATGTTTCGCCGGCATCGTCAGTAAGCCTTTCCATGTTCAATACCAAGCGACAACTTGTCAAGGGGCAAGTTTAAGCCAATCCCTTTACGTCGTTTCTGTCGAACTGGCGCTAACGGCCTTGTTGGAGACTATAAGCCAAGAAGAAGATACATTGTAAGCAAAAAGGGCCAGGAGGGAGACGGTAACTTGAGTTATCAGGACTAGTGAGATAGATTGTCACTATTGTCGGAGAAATTTGACGTTCTGGCTCAATTGACTAGAATTCTCGCTCGAGGTGTAGC